TTGAACCGCCAGTCTTCTGGTTAGCAGTCAAGTGCCTTTAGCCACTATGCTACCAGAGCTCCTCCATTAGCTATTAGAGAGATGAAAATCAAAACAACAACAACAACAAGATATCACTCCAGCAATAATAACAGTAGACAAGACAGAAATAACAAATGCTGGTGATATTGTGGAGAGATTAGAACTCTCATACACTGCTGGTGGGACTGCACAATGGTACAACCATTGTGGAAAATAATATGGCATTTTCTTAAAAAATTGAAAATAGAAATCCCATTTGATTTCACAATTCCAATACTAGGCTATCCTAAAGAGGTGAAAGACAGGATATGAATAGACATATGCACACCCAGGTTCATCACAGCACAATACACTATAGTAAGGAGATGGAAACAACCTAAATGCCCATCAATAGAAGAATGGATAACCAAACTATGGTACATTGACACAATGGAATACTACGCAATATTAAAGAATAACGAAGAATACAAGAATCATCTCACAATGTGGATGAATTTGGAGGATAATATGCTGCATGAAATAAGTCAATCACATAAGGACAAATATTGTGTGAGCCCATTATTGTGAAAAGTCAAGGAAAGATTTACTCAGGGAAGGAAATTCACTTTGTTGGTTACTGGGAACTGGAGGGAAGAGGAGGGAAAATTTCAGATTAGGTGGAGGTCACATGTTGATTTGGGTGAGCGGAGGGATGGTATGGAAAGGGTCTGTGACCAGCATGATGACATTGGGGAAAGGAAGGACCCTGAAACGTGCACATAAGATATAGACAACAGAGGCAAATACTATTATATGCACAATACTGCATTACCACTAGTACCAAACACCAGGATAAGGGTAAATACATAGACAGGTGAGAAATAGGCAAACAGGAATATACCCTAGACCAAGGATAGATTTGCCTGAAGATAATTTTACATATGCACTTATGCTACAAAATTAGCCACATACATTACAGAAGCAACAGAAGACAGAGTTGGAGTAGCTTCTCAGAGAAAACCAAACACCTTGAGAGAGAGAATCACCAGGCCTGCAGGGACATCATGCTCAATTGCCACAAAATAGTACGTAAAAATCTTATTCTACAACCTACTTTGGGGAGTAAAGTCCAGGGTCTTAAAAGCTTTTGAGCAGCCATCTAAGATGCAACTATTGGTCTCCTCTCGCCTGGAGCAAAGAAGAGTGAAGAAAATCAAAGGCATCTGGAAACAATTAGTCCAAGGATAAGATGGACCACAAGGACCTCAGTCTTCACAACCCTGAGACAAGAACTAGATGGTACCCAGATACCAATGCCAACCACTTGGAAAGGGATCAGAACTGGAGATCCTGGATAGAGTGGGAGAAAAAATGTAGATCAAAATTCAAAAACACAAAAATGATCAGAATTACTGGTCAGAAAGAGACTGGTGGAACTTCCAAGACTATGGCCCTGGGTTACCCTTCTGGCCTAGAAATGGACTCACTTCCATGGATTGGCTCTCAGCCCAACATTAGAAAGACCTACATGCAGAACACCTATCCCAGGGCCATGCACTCACCTACTCTAGGGAGATGCACCTCCTAGATTAATCAGCCATGAGATACCAGAGAGACAGCATTCACATAGAGGGAAAGCTGGACAGACAGGAGTGCACAGTTAAGAAAGGCACAGGGAGCGGGTAGTCACAGGGAGGGGAGGGGAGTTTTTTATGGTGGTTGTGAATGGTAATTGAGGTGTGAAGTCAAACGTGCATGAACTGTTGAATGTAAACCAAATCTGCTTTGTAAATGTCCACACGATGCACAATATCAATTAAATAAATAAAACAACTGTTGAAATCCAATTTAGAGATGAGATTCCTACCTACACTTTAGTTAGAGACATCTTACTGGGATTATTTTGCAATTCAGAAATACTTATTAAATAATCCTTCAGTTATGCACTTCAATGTATTTTTCACACCCGACAGTTTCCAGGTACACTGCCAGGTACAAAGGATACAGTTAAGTGCAAGAAAGGTGTGGTTCTTCCTCTTTGGAAATTATAGCTTAATAAGAAAGGTAGATTTTAAACAATGAACACCTCTAATGAATTGATATCTATATAACAGTTAAAAGTTTGTGAAAGAAAGAAAAAGATGATGAGAGATTGTAACATGGAGATCTAGTTTAGAATGGAAGATCACAGGGGTATTCACTGAAGACATAGTACTTAAGCTAAGATCTCAAAATAGTTATAAATTAGCCAGACAGAGTATGTAGCATTAAGAATATAATGCCTAGAAATTCTTTAGCTTTATTCTACCGAACACTTCAAATTCACAGATTGCATCAATAATTCAGTTTTGTTGCATGTGTCCTGATAGTCCTTTTTTTCTCAATTAACTGCTGACAAAAGAAAGAAAAAGAGAAGGAAAAAGGGAAAGAAATAGAAAGAGAAAGGAATTTGGCCACTATTGAAGATGTATCGCTTCATTGATATTTTCACGCCATTTCTAGTTTCCGTCAAGTCCAACTCATGGTGACCTCATGTGTGTCAGAATAGAACTGCATTCTTATCATATGGTAAACCACAGGATTTTCAGTGACTGGTTTTTTGTAAGTCAATGACCAGACTTTTTTTTGAAGCACCTCTGGATGGACTCAAACTTCCAAACTATTGGTTAACATCCAAGTACATTAACTGCACACCCAAGGACTCCTTACCCAGTACAGATGCCTGAAAAAGTATTAGATAGAGAGATACTTGGAGATAAATTGGATGGCCTTTCCATGAGGAAAAACTTCCTGGGATTATCCATTCTTAGGGTTCTCTGAGGGTCATAGCCTGCAGTTCACCAAAGAATCACAACCACAGTCAGCGTGAATCTCCAACCAGAAGACAACTAGTTTCAGCTGGTCAATGGATCATGTCTTTGGCTCATTTTCTTCACTGGAGCACTTGTGGAGCACTTGATTCCTAACTCTCCAGGCTGGCTTGTTCCAGCAGCCCCAAGAGTTAGTTGGCATATGTAATGTCATCTCTACTTTTGTTCAGGAAGAAAGCACATTTTAGAAGCAAACAAACAAACTGCCTTGATCTTTAAATACCTATATTGATTCCAAAAGCAGAAAAGTATTCAGTAAAGGTGACCGCTTTTAGCAAGAATTTGTGCTACTCACACATGCCCTGGAGAGAACAATCATGGAAGAAGGAAGGGCTGCTTACAACAGGGAGACATCTCAGGGCGCAGGAGAGTATGGAGGGATGGTCACTGGGAAGAGGTAACTATGGGGAGGAAGTGGGAGGGGAGCTGTTGCATTGTGGTAAACTGTGGTCAATGACATGAGACAAAGTATATGTGAACTGCTGTATGGAAAGTGAATTTGCTCTGTAAATCTTCACCCAAATCACAATAAAAATAAATAAATAAATAAATAAATAAAAGAATTTGTGCTACTCAAGGCTAGGCTACTATCCCCACCACTTACCATCCACCATCTCCCATAAAAGTTGTGCTGAACCTGTCTGCCTACTTGGAGTTGCTTTCCAAAGGACCTTCTGATTTTTACTTGTTCAAACAACCAAAAAATCACTTGCTATGGAGTTGATTCTGACTCATGGAAACCTCAGGGGGGCCAAAGTAGAACTGTGCTCCATAGGGTTTTCAATAGCTGTTTTTTCAGAAGTAAATTTCCAGGCCTTTCTTCTGAGGTCCCTCTGGGTGGACTCGAACCCCTAAGCTTTCAGTTAGCAGTTAAACACGTTAACCATTTGAATCACTCAGAGACTCCTATTCAAATTTAGAGTAAAACTTGCTATTAGGTCCAAAATTGTACTGGTGCCTAAAGCAGCAATAAGCAGTTTTTTTCTTTTTTTTTTTTTATCGTCTGCACAAAGAATTTTAATCAACCAGTTATTGAAAAATTATGGATGATTGAATAACACCAAAAATTTTTATTTGTATAAAATATTCTTACTTTATATAATTGGAGCAATGATTGTCTTCAACTCTCTTAAGTCCCACACAGCACAACTGGGTTTGTGTTGAGGATGATTCATTTATCTGCAGAAGCAAAGCAAATGAACAGGCAAATGAAAAATCTAGTCATAAATTTAACAAGCCAAACTTTTTTAAAGGTTGTTGAAATGTTTCATTCCAGGGTGCACGCCCTTGATGCATGCGGTTTCTGGACGTCAAGTGGACACAGTGAAGCTGCTGTTGAAGATGGGAGCCAATATCAACATGCAGGACACTTATGGCCGCACAAGTTTATGCCTGGCAACCTACTTGGTACCAACTTGTGTCTATTGCAGGGGTTAAGGAGTGGGATGTGCTGGAGGGCTCCTTAATAAGTTGTATGAGGGAAGTTTTCTCGTAGGACATCGTGATGTCCCAGCCTCTTGCATGGCTCTCCACAGTAGGACCTCATCCCTGGTTCTCCTGAGGCTCCCTGGGAAAGGGGTCAGTGTCCCGAGGACAGCACTCTTGAAGCCCACCACTCCCTCTTGCAATGTTCAAAGTCAAGTATTAAAGTGAAACTTAGCAAAAGTGGTGCTGAGAAATTAAGTTTCAGTCATGTTGTTGTTGTTGTTAT